TGAAGAAAAATCCCAGAGGAGGTGGGAAGAGCAGATATCAAGAATCAAGTAGAGAAGTTTATAACTTTTTTAAAAAAAATTCTGCATTAGGTGAAAGTTTACAGAGCAAATTATATACCCATTCCATAGTTTGTACATAAAGTGTTTCATGGTCTTGGCTTCATTCCCCCAATGTGTCAGCACTCTCCCCATTTCCGCCCTAGTTTCCTCGTTTCCTGTCATCGTAATTTTCTACCCCTTTCTGCCTTCTCATCTTTGCTTTTGGGCAACTATTGCCCTTCTAATCTTGCATAATTGTTTGTTCGAAGGAGTACGTTCCTCTTAGGTGCCATTGTTCATTTTATGGGCTTGTCTATTGTTTGGCAGGAAGGTGGTCTCCAGGAATGGCTTCAGATCCAGGTCAGAGGGGTGTCTTAGGGCCATAGTCTCAGGGGTTCCTCTAGCTTTTATCAGACCGGTATGTGGTCTTTTTTGTGAATTTGATTTTTTGTTTAACATTTTTCTCCTGCTCTGTCTGGGACCCTCTGTTGTGATCTCAGTCAGAGTAGTCGATAATGGTAGCCGGGCCCCCTCTAGTTCTTCTGGTCTCTGAGTTGTGTAGGCTATGGTTTATGGGGTCCATTAGTCCTTTGGACTAACTGCTCCCTTGAGTCTTTGTTTTTTTTTAACTCTCCTTTGCTCCAGACTGGAAGAGACCAATAGTTGTATCTTTTAAGACCCTGGATACTACTCCCCAAAGTAGGATGTAGAATATTGTCTTTATGAACTATGTTGTGCCCGTTGATGTAAATGTCCCCTGACTCTATGGTCCTTTGCCTTCAATCCTAGGAACTTCATCCTGCAAGGTGTTTGGTTATGTCTAAGAGGTTTCCCTGACTGCCACTTGTGTGGTCTATTAATATATGAGAAGCACCTACAATCATGTGTTTAGAAATATCTACCACCAAACCTGTATTTGCTGGTGGGTGTGCTCCATTACACCCTCCCACACCTCTTGACATATCTATTTATCTATGTATCCATTTGTAAATTATTGTTTGTTAATACTATTGTTGCAGGATTATCTATGCTATAGTAGTTCCTGTAGTTGCCCTTTATTCTTGTGTTCCTCTCAGTGTCCTCTCTTGCCTTGGTCGTATTGTGCTGATTTCTCCCATATTGTTTATTGTCTACTATCTATTTGGTAATTTTCTCTTCCTCCCTCTCCCATCCCTGGTAATCATCCAAGAATTTTTTTTTTCTCTCTGTGTAATCCTTTTTCTGTTACTTTATAATAGTGGTCTCATACAATATTTGTCCTTCTGTGATTGACTTGTTTCACTCAGCATAATGTCCTCCAAATTCATCCATGTTGTGAAATATTTTACGGATTTATCATTATTCTTTATCATTGCATAGTATTCCATTGCGTGTACGTACCACTGTTTGTTAATCCATTCATCTGTTGTTGGGCACTTAGGTTGTTTCCACCTTTTTGCTATTGGGAATAATGCTGCAATGAACGTGAGTGTGCATATGTCTATTCATGTCTATTCAGGGTGTGTAACTAGGAGTGGAATTGGTGGATCATATGGTATTTCTATTTCTAGCTTTTTGAGGAAGTGCCATACCGTCTTCCACAGTGGTTATGCCGTTTTACATTCCCACTAGCAGTGTGTAAGAGTTCCAATCTCCCCACAACCTCACCAACATTTGTTATTTTCTGTTTTTCTGATTAGTGCCAGTAATGTTGGGGTGAGATGGTATCTTATTGCAGTTTTGATTTGCATCTCTCTAATTGCCAATGATCACAAGTATTTCTTCCTATGTTTGTTAGCAGCCTGAATGTCTTCTTTGGTGAAGTGTCTGTTCATCTCCTTTGCCCATTTTTTAATTGGATTGTTTGTCTTTTTTGTTGTTGTTGAGCTGTTGAAGTTTTCTATAAATTTTAGAGATTAGACCCTTGTTGGATATTTTTCCTAATCTGTAGGTTCTCTTTTTACTTTTTTGGAGAAGTCTTTTGTTGAGCATAAGTGTTTAATGTTTAGGAGGCCCCATTTATCTAATTCATCTGCTGTGTGTGCATTTTTAGTTATGTTTGGTATTCTATTTATGCCATATATTAAGGCCCTGTCATGGACTGAATTGTGTCCCCCAAAAATATCTGTCAACTTGGCTGGGTCGTGATTCCCAGTACTGTATGATCGTGTACCATTTTGTAATCTAATGTGATTTCGTTATGTGTTGTAAACTCTGTCACTATGATGAGGTTATACTGATGAGGTCTACAAGATTGGATAGTGTCTTAAGCCAATCTCTTTTGAGATATAAAAGAGAGAAGTGAGCAGAGACACATGGGAACCTCATACCACAAAGAAAGCAGTGCTGGGAGTAGAGTGGGTTCTTTGGACCTGAGATTCCTGCAGAGAAGCTCCCAGACCAAGGGAAGACTGATGCATTACAAGGACCTTCCTTCAGAGCGGACAGAGACAGAAAGCCTTCTCCTGGAGCTGATGCCTTGAATTTGGACTTGCAGCCTACTGGAATGTGAGAGTATAAACTTCTCTTTGTTAAAGCCATCCACTTGTGGTATTTCTGTTAGAGCAGCACCAGATGACTAAGACAGGCCCCTCGTGTTGTCCCTATTTTTTTCTCCATGATCTTTATAGTTTTGGGTTTTATATTTAGGTCTTTGATCCATTTTGAGTTAGATTTTGTGTATGATGTGAGGTATGGCTCCTGTTTCATTTTTCTACAGATAGATACCCAGTTTTGCCAGCACCATTTGTTGAAGAAACTGTCTCTTCTCCATTTAATAGACTTTGTCCTTTTGTCAAAGACCAGCTGCCGATAGGTGGATGGATTTATGTCCGGGTTCTCAATTCTGTCCCATTGTGCTGTGTGTCTGTTGTTATACCAGTATCAGGCTGTTTTGACTACTGTGGCTGTACAGTAGTTTCTAAGATCAGATAGTGTGAGACCTCCTACTTTGTTCTTCTTCTTTAATAAGCCTTTACTTATTTGGGTCCTTTTTCCCTTCCATATAAAGCTAGTGATTAGTTTTTCCATCTCGTTGAAGAATGCTGTTGGAATTTGAATCGAAATTGCATTATATCTATATATTGTTTTGGGTAGTATTGACATTTTCACAATGTTAAGTCTTCCTATCCAAGAGCATGGTATGTTTTTCCATTTATGTAGGTTTCTTGCAATAGTGTTTTGTAGTTTTCTTTGTATGTCTTTTACGTCCCTGGTTAGATTTATTCCTAAGTATTTTACCTTTCGGGGGGAGGGGTGGTGGTGGTGGCTATTGTAAACTGTATTGTTTTCCTGATTTCCTTTTCAAGGTTCTCTTTGTTGACATAGAGGAATCCAACTGATTTTTGTATGTTAATCTTGTATCCTGCCACTTTGCTGAATCCTTCTATTAGTTCTAGTAGCTTTCTTGTGGAATCTTTAGGATTTTCCATGTATAAGATCATATCATCTGTGAATAGGGATAGTTTTACTTCTTTCTTACCAGTTGGATGCTCTTTATTTCCTTTTCTTGCCTTATTGCTTCCACTAGGACTTCCAATACAATGTTGAATAAGAGTGGTGATAAAGGGCATCCTTGCCTGGCTACCATTCTCAAGAATGCTTTCAGACTTTCTGTTGAGGTTAATGTGGGCTGTTGGTTTTGTGTAAATTCCCTTTATTAGAATTTCCCTTCTATTCCTATTTTGCTGAGAGTTTTTTTTTTTTCAGTCAGGAATGGGTGTTGGACTTTATCAAATACCTTTTCTGCATGGATTGAGATGATCATGTGATTCTTCCTTTGTTGTCATTATGTGGTGAATTATGTTGATTTATTTTCTAATGCTGAACCATCTTGCGTACCTGGTATGAATTCCACTTGGTTATGATGTATTATTTTTTTTTGATATGCTGTTGAATTCTATTGGCTAGGATTTTGTTGAGAATTTTTGCATCTATATTTATGAGGGATATTGGTCTGTAGTTTTCTTTTTTAGTGATGTCCTTGCCTGGATTTGGTATCAGGGTTATGCTGGCTTCATAGAAGGAATTTGGAAGTATGCCTTCTTTTTCTATATTCTCGAATAGTTTGAGTAGAATTGGTGTCAACTCTTCTCTGAATGTTTGGTAGAATTCTCCAGTGAAGCCATCTGGGCTGGGTTTTTTTGTTGTTGTTGTTGTTGAGAGTCTTTTTTTTTTAATGACCCTTTCTATTTCCTTTTTTGTTATGGGTCTGTTAAAATTTTCTACCTCAGTTCTTGTTAGTTTAGGTAGGTAGTGTGTTTCTAAATATTTGTCCATTTCCTCTAGGTTTTCAATTTGTTGGAGTAGAAGTTTTCATAGTATTTTGTTATGATCCTTTTTATTTCAGTTGGTTTTGTTGTAATGTCACCCATCTCATTTCTTATTTGGGTTATTTGCATCTTCTCTTGTTCTTCTTTTGCAAATTTGGCCAGTGGTTTGTTGATTATAACTTCGTTTTCAGAGAGAGGGTAATGACTGTGACAATTTGTAACAGAAAAAAGCAGGAAGAAAGTTAGGTGGAGGATTTCAATCAATGAAATCATTTGCAGAGTAAATGGACCGGGTAGACCCTGAGTTTGAATAGTATCTTCAATTTTCCCTGAAGCCCAAGAATTATGTAGTTTGCTGTGTGAGGCTGCTGGGGAACATGCCGTTCCAAAATGAGGACGTCCTGAGGAATACTGTAACAGTATTCAGAGACTAGAAGGAAAGAATTAAGTAGCCTACTTTCTTTCTCCTGGAGTTCCAAGCAACTTGATTTTTAAACTGCCCTCTTTATATAAATCCTTGTTAATCTGCCAAGGATTCTGCCTTTCTGGTGTAAGGTCATGCATTTAAATGAAGGTTGCAGTTATTATTGCTGTTAGTAAAGGTAGGTAACCTTTGCGAAAAACACGAACCACTAGGTGCCTATAAAAGGTTGGTGGGCGTGGTCAACCGAGACCAGGCTGGAGGCCGCGCCCCCTTCCCAGAGTGCACAGCAGCCGCTGCCTGGAAGGGAATCCGTTTCTTGCTTGCTCTGTTTTGCTCCAAGGAGTGTCCCGATCATGGATGGGCTCCGGGCTAGTGCAGGATTGCTGAGGCGAGGGCGACTGCGGCGCCGGCGCCAGTCCCAGTCACACAGCGGGTCCGTCCTGACTCTGCCCTTGAGGCCAAGGAAGATCCGAAGGCAGCTGAGGAGAAGTGTTGGGTCCCGCATGGCCGCGCTGAGGGCCCAGACACTGCCGAGCGAGGACTCGGAGGACTCGCGGGTGGAGTCGGCGGTCGACGATTCCGGTGAACCGCTGTCCGGTGGGGCGGCGGCGGCCATACCGGATGCGGCCCGGCGAGAGTCGTACGACCACCTCGGGCCTGCAGAGCTGCTGGCGGCTCCGCTGGAGGCCCCGCCCGCGGCCCGCTCCCTGCAGACTCCCCGGGCCCTGGTGGAGGCGCAGACCCCGCCGGCCCGCCTGGTGGAGGCGCAGACTCCGCCGGCTCGCCTGGTGCCGGCTTCGGTGCCCGCCCGCGTGGTGGAGACGTCGGCCCTGCCGTGCACTGCCTCGCACTTAGCTGTCCCACCGGCCGTGGCCCCTGCGACGCTGTCGGGGCCTCAGGGGGATAGCACCGGCGGGGAGCTGCCCCGGGGCTCCCCGCTGCAGCGTGTCCTGGCCGAGCTGAACCGCATCCCCAACAGCCGCCGGCGGGCTGCGCGCCTCTTCGAATGGCTCATCACGCCCATGCCGCCAGAGCATTTCTACCGGCGCCTATGGGAGCGGGAGGCGGTGCTGGTGCGGCGGCAGGACCACAACTACTATCAGGGTCTTTTCTCTACCGCGGACCTGGACGCGATGCTGCGCAACGAGGATGTGCAGTTCGGCCAGCACCTGGACGCCGCGCGCTACATCAACGGGCGACGCGAGACCCTGAACCCGCCCGGCCGCGCCCTGCCCGCCGCAGCTTGGTCCCTATACCAGGCTGGTTGCTCCCTGCGCCTCCTCTGTCCGCAGGCTTTCTCCACCACCGTGTGGCAGTTTTTGGCTGTACTCCAGGAGCAATTTGGAAGCATGGCGGGCTCCAACATTTACCTCACGCCCCCCAACTCACAAGGCTTTGCCCCCCACTACGACGACATCGAGGCTTTCGTGCTTCAGCTGGAAGGTAGGAAACTCTGGCGTGTTTACCGACCCCGTGTCCCGACCGAGGAGCTGGCCTTGACATCCAGTCCCAACTTCAGCCAGGAGGACCTGGGTGAGCCGGTGCTGCAGACTGTGCTGGAACCTGGGGATTTGCTCTATTTTCCTCGGGGCTTCATTCACCAAGCCCAGTGCCAGGATGGTGTACACTCTCTGCACCTCACCTTGTCCACATACCAGCGTAATACCTGGGGCGACTTCCTGGAGGCCGTACTACCTCTGGCTGTGCAGGCTGCAATGGAAGAAAATGTGGAGTTTCGAAGAGGTCTACCCCGAGACTTCATGGATTACATGGGGGCACAGCATTCAGATTCTAAGGATCCGCGGAGAACTGCTTTCATGGAGAAGGTGCGGGTCTTGGTAGCTCGCCTGGGACACTTTGCCCCTGTCGATGCCGTGGCTGACCAACGAGCCAAAGACTTCATTCACGATTCTCTGCCCCCTGTGTTGACTGATAGGGAGAGGGCATTGAGTGTTTATGGGCTCCCAATTCGCTGGGAAGCTGGACAACCTGTAAATGTTGGTGCGCAGTTGACTACAGAAACAGAAGTCCACATGCTTCAGGATGGGATAGCTCGGCTGGTGGGTGAGGGAGGCCATTTGTTTCTGTATTATACAGTGGAAAACTCCCGTGTTTATCATCTGGAAGAGCCCAAGTTCTTGGAGATATTCCCCCAGCAAGCTGATGCCATGGAACTCTTGCTCCGCTCCTACCCAGAGTTTGTGAGAATAGGGGACCTGCCCTGTGACAGTGTGGAGGACCAGCTTTCCTTGGCAACCATGTTATATGACAAGGGGTTACTGATCACCAAGATGCCTCTAACCCTAAACTAGTTTCTTGTAGATTGCTGGAAATAAGACAGCAGTGGTTTTCCCCTGCCACCAGCACTTTTCTTTTAAAAACTCATGTTCTTACCTTAATAACCTTCATTGAACTGTGTGCTCACATTTACCTTTATGACTGCTTCAATGTCGCAAGCCTCGGACGGTCTTCTAGGAATAACCACCTCATCTAGGTACAAAAGTAAAAACAGAAGTTGGAGGTGGAAAAAAGCTATATCTGCAGAAGTAACCTTGATCCCTAATCACTTTAGAGCACCAACGTCATCATCACCCTCAGGCATCACTGTACTGTGTAACACTTGCTGGGTCATTCCGCTTGAGACATTAGAAGTTTTTATTGGGAATTTGCATCCTTTATTTGAGTTTTCCTTCAACAGTTTTGGGGGAGGGTTGGGGTCAGTATCCTGTTTGTTATTGTGAGTTTGTATGAACATCAGAAAAGTTATTAAAGTGCCAAAGAATGTTTCCCTTTTCTAAGGCTAGATCATTATGTGGGATGGTTTGAAGGAATGTGGGAAAGGGAGGAAGATAGGGAAAATCTATAATGGCTGAAGTGGAAAGCAAATTGGGGTGGTTGTGGGATGTGAAAGGAGCACATTAAACATTTTTAAAGAAGAGAAACTCATCTGATTGGGGCCAATTCTGTAACTTCGGGGTAATTTATTCATTTTAATTACGCTACTTGAACCCTGAACAGCACAATCCTATTATAAAAGTTACCCACTAGCCAGGTCAGCTTCATGAGTATTTTATGTTTTTGCTCAGTGCTCGCTTGCTTCAGTGGCTGGCACTGTTCCCAAAGGGGTAGCATGTCACTTAGTTTTGCTGTCATAGGCCCCAATTTTGTAGCAAGCTGACCATGAGGGAAGGCTGGTGTTCAAGTCACTTTCCACTCTCATTTTTTTCTGGCAGTTGGAAGAAACTTCCCCAAATCTGGCAAGTGAATATTCTCATGGTTGGTGGAAAAGAACCTGTGCACCAGAAGGAGCACTGGACTTGCAACCAGAAGACCTGGGTTTGGGGTGGTGGCTGGTAGGCAGCTGGCTGAATGACCGGAGGCTGCTGCTGCTACACCTGGTCACGCAGATTTTGTAAGTATATTTTGGTACAACTTGGTTTCTCCACCCACCCCTCATTTAGGTTGTGTATGGAACTCTTAAAGATTGTATCGCTATATCTGGTAGGCTGAATTATATAGGGTTGGAAACTATAAATCTTTTTTTTTTTTTAATTTATGAAAGCATTGTCGTTGTTAGGTGACTCATAGTGAACCTATGTACAACAGAACGAAATGCTGCCTGGTCCTGCGCCATCTTCACAATGGTTGCTACATTTGAGGCCATTGTTGCAGCCACTGCGTCAGTCCATCTTGTTGAGAGTCTTCCTCTTTTTGCTGATGCTCTACTTTACCAAGCATGATGTCCTTCTCCAGAGCATAGACATACATAAAGTAAAAATGGTAGGTCCCCCTCTAGCCCTGCTTTCCAGAGTTAACCACTATTAAAGGTTAAGCTTTCTGGGCTTTTTTTGGTGCTTAATCAAGCATACACACAGTAGTTTTTTGGTATTGTTTTTAAAAGACTCATGTTTTTCTAAAATGGCCTTTTTTTTTACCTAACTTTCAAATCAGTTCAGGTAGAGCTACCTCATTTTTTTCAAGGTACAAAATAAGAAATGAATAAAAACTTGAGGTCAGGAAAATAACAGAAAGACCGAGAGGATGATGGCCAGAAAAGGAAACAGCCTCTCCTGGTTATTTCAGTCTTACTGAGCTCGGCACCGAGTCCCCAAACATCCAGATGCTGGGAAAGGCTTGCTAAAGAAGTCAAAGCTAGGACTTGCCCCTAGGAAACCTACCCTGAAAACTTTCTTGGAGAAGAGTACTGAGTTTCAATGGTTTTTGCCCCTCGTTGGGTTGTGAGTAAACACATTTTGCTTCCTCCTTCACTTTTCCTATGACCACCTCAATTTTGAGTATTTTCTGCGTCAGCAAGTCCTTTTGGCTTAGTGTATGAATCTAGATCAGAACAAATGATGTTAAAAAAAAACCTGCACTAGGCTGCAAATCATCAAAAACACTAATAAAGCAACTGCTTGCATCATGCTTATGAGTATTAAGTGGTACATATATGCTTGAGAATACCCAGATTAGAAATTAAGGAAAGTTAAAGGGAAAAAACCTAGGGGGCCAGCCCCAATCCCCCATTCCTTCTCTATGCCTGCCTGCAAAAAAGAAAGAAGAACTTGGCTTTAGGGGATGGTGGGGAGAAAATGGGGACAGAGGGAAATAGTATTTCAGAAATAATAACAACCCAGATTTTGATGGCTACCTAATAGAACTAATAGGATTTTTGTTTTGCTAATAGGATTTTATAATCTGACGTAGCAGAGATGTTTTATATCTTCAGATGACATGGTATCTGTGTCTGGGGTGATAGAAAGTATTTCTGTAGTGGAGAAAAGGGTGTGTACATGCTTGTGGAGAAAAAGGGTCTGAGGAACTCTGAAAGCCCTGAATTTTCCCTTGAAAACACACTTGCACTTATCTACCCTGTTCTTGATCTCCTGAAGCATTTCTTGGTTTCCTTCATTTTCTAAATTGAGTATCTTCATTGCCTGGTAAATTTCCCTAAAAGATAAGAAGGGCTACTTAGATTGTTCTTCCATAGCCTTAAAAAAAAATCATGGGGATGGGAAATATAGGCAAGAATCTTCAGTTTCAGTCCTAACTGTGCAGTTTTGCTAAACTTTATCTGCAAAAATTGTATGAAGCTTAACTCATAAGGATGTTGTGCAGTTTTGAGATGATATATTTGAAGGTACTAATTAGATGCCATTTATTGAACATATCTCATTAATCATCATCACAGCTCTATAAGGTAGACTATCATCTGCACTTGATACAAGAAGAAATGGGCTCAGAGAGGTTAAGTAACTTGCCCAGGCTCACATAGTGCATGCCAGAGCTGGAATTCAAACCCTGGTCTTTGACAGGGAGGACTTGTCAGAGTAGGCAGTTAAATGTTAGTTAAATAAATGAATAACTTCAAACCACCTGGGCAGAGGAAAGGTGCATGAATTACATAGGTTGACTTTCTATCTAATTTAGGCCAATTTTTCTGTTACCCACTTGGTAAGTAGGTGAATCACATGGTGAGCCTGTGCTTTTATTGTCATCAGGCAGCCTGGAAAGGCAGGGACATAGTCTGAACAGAGGTGGGAGGATTAGCAGTACAAGAGGCCATGACAGGAATCAAAGCTTTGGCACTTACTTTAGAACAGCCTCATGATTCTCCAGGAGTAGCACGTCTAGGAAAGTGTCCCTGACCTGGTCCCCCTGAAGTTTGAGGGCTAGTATGCTACGGCAAGCTTCCAGTCGTACACCTGGTGATTCTTCATAGTGGATTGCCCAGAGCAGGAGATCTGTCAGATGGGGACTCACTTGGCCAATCTGTCCCAAAGCTATAGGGATTAAAGGGAACCATGGTCCTCTGTCACTTAAGACTTGGCTGTGTCCCAGCATCCAGAAATGCCCTTATTAGTAAATAAATGGTGTAGGCAGCCACATGATAAATCGAGTATTACAAACAATATCTTCCTTTCTGGATGGAATTAATCACCATTAGAATTTTAGGAATAGGTTGGAGTGGGACATTATTGCCAAAGGATACCTAGGAGGCGGTGTTCCGTCTCACCTTGCCCAATACACGTATGCATAGACTAATGTAGCTATTTATCTAGTAATGAGATATGGGACAGAAAACTCAGAACACCAGCCTAGTCAAGGCAGGGTGATGTGGAAGGCAGGCAGAGTTACTTCACAGGTTTACCTAGGGCTGGTTCTGCTAGGGACTGTCAAAGAGAGAAGCAGTGCCAACAATTCCTAAAAAGAAACTCTGGAACAATTAGAGGGCAGAGGTTTAGGTCTATAGCAGTCTTGGATCTGGTCCGACTTTTCAGAGTCCTAAGGCTGAAACCTCCGAGGAAAGTAAGATGTATCCTGCAGTGGATACTTACTTGGAACTTATCCCTAATTCTATTGGCAGGGACTGTCTTGCCATACCTTTGCCTTTACAAGTTTGGCATAGACCTAGACTCAGGATCCTTAACTAAAAAGAAAGTCTTTCCCTTTTCAGTCAAAAAACTATTGAGAAGCTAAGATCATCCCCTCCCCTACACTCCACCCTCTTCCTAGAGAGTTTCTGGGGATCATCTGTATTAGCATATAGGAAGGTATTTGAGGTTGAGGAGCTGGGACCATTACTTCTGTAATACCTCGAATGGCAAAGGCCTTGATTTTCCAGTAAGGATCTCTCTGCATCAGATTCAGGAGGCATTCAAGCACCTGGGTTGGATAAAAGTCAAGCATTGAGTGGGAAGGACCAGAAGAAGAGTGAGCCAGAGTCAGGGACCGCACTTGTCTCTAAAATATGCTATAACTGAAAAATGACCTTCCATCAATTCCAGTAACAGATGAGCTGGAGCCCACAGTGCCAGCCTGTACACATTGTGTAATTGCTGAATTATCTGATCTCTAGATTGATTTTCTCAGGCCATATTTATGGCCGTACATGCTTCTTTTGGACACCTCAATCAGGCTTCCCAGTAATGTAACAGGGATTATGTTATAACCTAAGAGTCCCTGGGTAGCACAAATGGTTAAGTGCTCAACTACTAACCAAAAAGTTGGCAGTTCAAGACACCCAGAGGCACCTTGGAAGAAAGGCCTGGCAATCTGTTTCCTAAAGTTCACAGCCTAGAAAAACCTTATGGAGCTGCAATTCTATTCTGCAGCACATGGGATCGCCATGAGTCAGAATGGACTTGACAGTGACTGGTTTGGTTTGGATTTTTGGTTTATGTTATAACCCCATTCACTGGAATTGGTCTTTAAGCCTCTCAGCAACCAGCTATTAAGAAGCTAGTTAACTGAGGTGAGAACAGGATTAAGTAAACATGGATATACCCTAGAACGAAGTCTGGGCTGGTTGGTAATTAAACGTCCTAACTAATTGATGTGGCCTATATATACCACTTCACCTTCCTGGTCTGATCTCTCTCATTCTCTATCCCCACAGAATGGTAAGTGTATTATGCATAACAAGGGGAAGATCAGGGCAAATTCCCTTTTCAGGTCCTTTAGGTAAGATGGGAACGTGCTTCCTTGACTTACCATCTTGTCACGGATCTGCAGTGCACCAGCTGCCAAACAGGCTTCCTGCCGTACTGCCACAAAGTCATCATTGAAGCAGTTGAGGAAGTTTGGGAGAAGCTTGGCAGTCATGAGCTTGAGCTCACCAATCAGGGAGAGGGCTTTCACACGTTCCCGGGAGTTTCCTCGACCCAGCTTGACTCTATAAGGCACAAGGTGATTTTTCATTTTCCCTCTTTATATCTTCAGTTGCCCTCCCTCTGTCCATTAGCCAGCCTCACCCCTTCCTATGCAGCCTTATACCCATTAGGTTAAGCTTCACTGGGTAGAGACCTCAAGTGTCTTATTTACCTAAATCCCTGTTATCTAGCGAATGCTATGTTTACTGAATGAATAAAGGAAAGTTTCAACATGCACCCCTTGCCACAGTCAGGGTCTCTTCTCCACTGCCCTCACACGTGCCCTGCTCATTTCTGCATTTCTGCATTTGGCTCCCAACCTGGAATGCCTCCTCTTCTGTCTGTCTATACAGTTTTATCCATCCACCATGAACCTTGACCTTCCTCCTCTAGCATAGTAACCATTCCATTTTTCTGCTGTAGCAGTTATGGTATATGCCATTTGTTCTTATTTTTAGTATAATTTTTTTTATTAGGTATTTGTATATCTTGCCTGTATAATCAGACTCATGTCATGCTTTTGAACTCCCTCAAACAATGCCTAACACCTAGTGGGTGTTCAGTTAATACTTCTTTTCCTAGCCACGTTGATAGTTTCTGTAGGGGCTGTTAACTTTTTTGCTTTTTCAAAATAATCCTGCAATGAGACATAGTACGATGCTGAGCATACAGAAGATCTCAGTAAATGCTGGCTGGCTGGGTCCCAGGCACCCCTGAACACTTCTAAGAATAGAAAAGTTTCTCTCTGCATGTTGACGTGGCCTTACCTGATCTTGTCATGTACCTCTTTCCCAAGGCTCATTTGCCCCAGAGCTAGGGCAGCTGCTTGTCTCACTTTCTTATTCCAGTCGCTCCACATCAGTTCAATCAATTTATGTTTCATATCCTACAAGTAGTTATAATAGTTAGCTACCATTTATTGAACATTAATTTTGTAACTGAGACTGTGCTAAATGTTTTTTACCTGTGGTATCTCACCTCCCTTAATCCTCCCAAACCATATAATGAAGTAGATGTTATGATTTACAGATGATAAAATGGAAGTTGAGATTAATTTGCCCAGGGTTAATCTGGTTTAGATTAATTTGCCCAAGGTTAACCTGGTGAATGCTGGAGGTCTGCTTCCAAAGCTCATCCATTAAACTGTTGTGTTAGGACCAATTTAATTTGTACCCAAGAGGCTTAAAATTTTAAGTGGTATGTTAATAGGGTGACCAGCTTTTTGCACTGAAAATCCTGTGTCCCAGGAAACCCCTCAATCCCAGGCAAACCAGGATGGTTGGTCACCTTACATATTAGGGTCTATTTCTCTTAGAGAGGAAGGGACAAAGATTGCTACAGTTGTACTCAATGATTTTGTAATTGTGTCTAAGCTATTTTCCCTGCCTGAAACATCTCCCTTCTCCATCCTACCTGGTAACCCAACCACCCATTGCTATTGAATTGATTCCAACTCCTAGTGACCTTATAGGACAGAGTAGAACTGCCCAGTGGGGTTTCCAAGGCTGTAAATCTTTACAGAAGCAGACTGCCACATCTTCCTCCTATGGAGCGGCTGGTGGGTTCAAACCACCGACCTTTCGGTTAGCAGCTGAGCACTTTACCCACTGTGGCACCAGGGCTCCTCACCCAACCTGGTACCTGTTGTTTTCCAACTCTTCCTTTAGGATTTAGCTCAAATAACATCTTTTCAATGAAGTCCTCTCTGCCCTCTATAAGCATAGGAACTCACCAGAGTAACTTACAGCTACTACTGTCATGGCTATTCATAACATTTACTGTGAGATCCTTGAAGACAGAGCAGATGTCTTATTCATCTTTGCACCCCTAGTGCTAGCCTGGTATGTAGGAAGTGGCCAGAAACTGCTTGCTTACTGAGTGAGTGAAAGAACTAATGGACAGACTGCCTTTCTTAATTCCAGCAGTCTGACATGAAGTCTGCATGTCTTTACCTTGTCCCCTGTGAGCTCTGCATATCTTTTTACTCAGTTGGCAGTCCTTAGTGGCAAGTGCTAAGGAGGTCAACATGCAAATGAATCAGATATTGTTAAAATTATATTGTTAAAACACAGATTCTGATTGAGTTGCCCTGAGGTGAGTCTGCATTTCTAACAAGCTCCCGTGTGATGCCGATACTGCTGGTCTAGGACTTTAGTAACGGGACTACAGCATTTGAGACAGAATTAACTCACTCTAAAATATCTTTAGGTGATTACACTGAATGGCCAGAGTTTGTGCTTCCCACATCAAAAGGTAAAGGCTAAAAATAAAATAGATTATTTAAAGAAAAAAAGTGAGTGCTAAAGAGTGGAGGGTATTCACTTCTCAAGGGAATGGCAGTATTCTGGGCCATTCGGGAAGTACCCAATGTTATGAAAAAAAGATAGAGTGGAAGAAGGGAAAAATCTCATTTGGACAGCTAAGGGTGGTTTGGAAATAATGGCAAAAAGGAGGTCAGGTGAAAGCCTAAAGGATAGTCATGGTTTCCTTTGTCTGGAATTCCTTTTTCTATCCAAGTCTCGTTCAGCTGTCCCACACTCCTTCATGAAACTTTAACTGATTAAGTTCAGCCCACACTAATATCTTTCTTTCTTTGAAAATTTTGAGTGTCTTACATTTATTGCTTGTTCTTAAATCATTCGTGTGTGTTAATCTTGTTGCTCCAACTACACTGTCAGTTTTTTGAAAGTAGGGACTGTGTTTTATACCTTCTTCATGTGTGTGCCGAACATTCAGGGGGAGTCAGCGTAGACACTAATAGAGATGGGTTGTTGAATAGTTTAAGTCGGTGCTTCTCAAACTACCTGTGTTGAAGGACTAGTGTTTTTGGGGGAAAAAAATGTTATTGACAGAATCTTTTATAAAATGCATTGGTGTTGAGGCAATGTCAAATTACTATAAAAGCTTCTAAACTTTTGCTCTCTGTGTTTGTACTTACTTCATTGTGGGTCAGTTAGTTTGTGGACGGCCACCACACTGAGAACTACACTGGCCTAAGTCATAGACATGTCAGCATTTGCAGACAATTCTGGGTTAGGAGGATGGGGCAGCAATGTGGAGACAGATCTTTTTGGTAAGAATGGGATACTGAATAGGAACAAAAAGTGGAAGGGCCCTAAGCCCAGCCTTGCTTAAGCTTTCTGTCCTAGAAGCACAGAAAGAAAAGCCTTACCAAACTGACATTTCCACTGATGCGGGACAGAGTCCGGCAGGCCACAATCCGGTCCTTCCATTGACGGCTGTTCAGCTCCACGGCAAGCATGGTATGTATCAGGGTCTGAGGAAATGGAAGATATGTATGGATATTCACAATCACTTTTAGAGATACTAGAACCTTGAAGAGGTTACATCATAACATGGTATCCAGCATAATTATTGTCACAAGTACGTGAGCTGCCCATCCCTAGCAAAGGAAAGAGTAGGCTTACAAGACATGGGGTACTTTTCCATCTGAGCCAACTGACTCTGGGATCATAAATCTGGGAACAAAATACAGATTTAATAATGTGAACCCTCCTGGGGACTTCCCCCCTTGACTTCATCTTTACCCCTAAAATGATTTGTGTATGCCTCAGTCTTTATGAGTTTCACATTTCTGCTGAAACTAACTAAACACAGTTGTAGGTGTGTACAGTTCTCACTGGTAAACTTCTAGTAGAAGCAAATCCTCTGTCATGACTCTTGTTGCATACACAGTTATGAACCATCTACAAGCTACTCTTTTCACCTTTCTCTCAGCTAACTATGGTCACTTTTTGTTTACATCTGTATGCTCAGGTGCACCCATGCTTAGTCCACTTTCTATCTATGCTTGAGATCATCCAACCCGACCACCTGCATTTTGGATTCCTTACATACACTGGCCTCAAAGGCCCAATTATTCCACAAACGTTGTTTTCTTTCTCTGACCCTCTAATGGACACATACTGTCTTCCTGCTGAGGTGGCTCAGGAGGATACAAGATTGGTCCTCGGTGTCCTTGTCCTTCTTGTTAAACAGTTGATTGAGGATCCTCTTAATCACGGGGTAAGTGGCATCACCTTCCAGAGCCAAGCACTGAGCTGCAGCCCAGCTGTCCACAATATTACCTGCCACAATAAGGGTGGGGGGTGGGGTGGCAGGAAAGAGGTCCAGAATGGTGATCTGTTCTCCCCCCCAGAAAACAGCCTTTGGATTGGTACCCAAAGCTGCTACCTGCCTAGTATCTCTCTTCCCTGTATTCCACTCAGTCTAGAAATCCAATCCCATATTTAAACCATATTTAAATGAGTCCCATCAGGGTTTTAAATACAAACTGAAAAATTTCAACCTGAAGAGTCACATCATAAAAGGCTCTTGTTAGGTAACAGAGCAGTAAGGCACTTCTTGCCTGCAGATGCAGTTCCTCTGGGAGCCTGGGAAGGTGGGGGTGGAGGCTTTCCTAAGGCAGGTAAATTAAGCTGTTGAATGTCTTTATGCAGAAGGCCAAAGCAGTCACCCAGTTGTTCCCCACATCGAGGCAAGGAACAGCCACTTCTCAGAGCAGTTAGGCACTGTGGGCCTTTCATCTAACAGCTTTCTTGACTATTTGACTCCAACGGTGCAGGTGGACAATGCCTGGAGGTTAATGTGCAAAAGTGGAAGCATGATGTATTCAGATAGTGATTTTTAAATTTCCATGACGTATTCATTAATATTGTTACATCATCTTTTCAATTTAAAAAAAATCAAGTGTTCCCTGAAACTGTTGCCCTGAGATAATCTTTAAACCTTAAACCAAAAATATCCACTGAAGTCTTCTTAAAACCAAACAATGGTTTAGCTTAACTAGTAAAAAAGGTCTGCCTTGAGCATTATGCTGTTTTGAGAACTATCTATATGGGATCAAATTGAAACAGCAGCTCAGAAGATGAGACAGGAACCTTAGGCAGTGAGTTGATGTTAATGGAGGAGGAACAACTCAGAAAAGGAGGGTGAGAATGGTTGCACAACATGAAGAATGTAATCGATGTCACTGAATTGTACATGTAGAAACTGTTGAATTGGTGTATGTTTTGCTGTGTATATCCTCAACAACAACAACAAAAGACTATGAAAAGAACCCCATGGTGGAGAGGGTGCAGGGAAAGGCCATTTTCACATACTGCTGGTGAGAGTATAAATTGACACCTCCTTTTTGAAAGTCAATTTAACAATAAATATTGAAAACCTTGAAATTTTACAACCATTACACAGCAAAAATGTTTAAATATTAAATATTTTTTAAAAATCAGATGGTGTGAAAAGGGGCATGGCTTCTAGTCAAATCCATCTGTGAAAAGCTTAGCTATTTTATCCTTTATGTCAGCCCAGTACCACTTGGTGGCAGTGCACCTCTTTTTGTAAAAGTACTTCACCACCACCACCACCACCCACTGCCGTCGAGTCAATTCTGACTCATAGCAACCCTACAGGACAGAGTAGAACTGCCCCATAGCGTTCCCAAGGAGCACCTGGTGGATTCGAACTGCCAACCTTTTGGTTAGCAGCTGTAGCTCTTAACCACTACGCCACCAGGGTTTCCAAATGTGCCTAGGAAGAACTAATTTCTGAGTGTTCTACCATTCCTAAACCCAAACCTCTAATAATACAGCAGACGTCACAGAGCATGATAATGGAAAGGTAAGGACTGGGAAAAGCTGATGGTGAGATAATTCTCTCTTTGCCTCCTATTTCCAGGTCAGAAATAACAGGGAGCTACTCACCCTTCAAAAGGGCAGTCTGCATGATGTCCCGGGCAAGGGGATCATGTGACTGTATGGCATATTGGCATACTGCTGCCGCCATCTGCACGTTGGCATTCTTGTCACAAAGAGCAGCTTTTAGGGTGGGCTGTAGAGCCTCTGGCAAGTCCTGGACAGGTGGATCTTTCACAGTCTCCACATCTGTGATCAGAAGAGGGCCAGGTAAGAGGGTACAGGCCCTTTTGCTTTTCTCTCAAACACGGCTTCCTTTCTAGTGCCACGTGGTGGCCATCTTTGGTCTCAGTTGCAGGTGCTTACTGCTACCTAAACGTAACGAGAGTTAGCTGAGCCCTGAAATGGACAGGATTTTAGGGCTCAGGACAATCCCTATTGGACAAGGTACAACTGCCTCACAGGGGTTCCAAGGCTGTAATCTTTATGGAAGCAGACTGCCACATCTTTCTCCTGTGGAGCGGCTGGTGGGTTCGAACGGCCCACCTTTAGATTAGCAGCCAAGCATTTAACCAGTGCGTCATCAGGGCTCCTTATACAGAGTGATAAATAGAAGTGATCTAATAAAAGTTAATATCTGAGAGGGCACATGAGGGATAAGAGGCAGTCACATTTTACATCCTTTCAATAGCATTTTATAGTTTTCATCATCTGGGTCGTGTGTCTTGTTAAACTAGATCCTCAGTAAATTACAGTTTTATGGCTCTTGTAGATGGGAAATTTTACCTATTTCTTTTTAACTGCTTATTGCTATTAAAGAGAAAAGCTATTGATTTTTCTTTTTCAAAAGATTACAAACTATCGGAAAAAATGGAGAACCCCTCAATTCATTTTACAAAGCTAGCAAAAACTAAAACTTAACAAAAATAGTAAAGGAAAAACAAAACTATATACTGATTTCACTTATGAATGTAGATTAAAAAATTCTGAAGAATTAACAAATCAAACCCAGTAGAGTTATAAAAGAATAAGGTACCATGATCTGGTAGGACTTATTCTAAGAATTTAACAACAGAATTCATCATATCCATAAATGAGGAAACCAGAAAGTATCTAATAATATTCAACACTCATTTTTGTAATAAATAGAAAAGATGCCACATATATGTGGGCATATGTTTGTTAGAGCGAAGGGAAAGATGTGGAAGAATATATGCCAAACTGTACATATTGGCTACCCTGGAACTGGGGAAGGGGGCTGGGAAAGAGATTGGAGAATATATATATTTACCAACATTAACAGTTGTATATTTCTTCCACAATTTAGGAGAAAAAATGAAGAGATACTTAGGAGGGAGAAACAATGGAACTTTTTTTTTTTTTAAATATACTTGCAATCATCCATTTATTATAATCAGAAAGGATACAGATGAAGAGACACATCAGGCAAGGTCTTGGAGAGGTCCCAGCATGAGGCTCCTGCTGACCCCAGGGACATACCACCCTCTCCCATGCATGAATATTTTTGCCAATGCAGGAAGCCCTCCTGCTTCCATGTTAAGGACCTCAAAAAATGTATATCAAAACAATGGAATTTAGTGATTAATTGGTTATGGGAAGAGGAAGAAGTTGTCCAGAATGACTTTAGGGTCCTGGCCCAGAAACTGGGGCTGTTAATAGAGATGGGGTCTACGGGGACAGTAATGAGTTCAGTTTTGGACATACTAAGTTTGAGATGTGCTGTCAAGAGAAGAGTTAAAATGGAGTTGGATGGAAAGTGTTTTTTAAAATGTAGTTTTTTACTGTTAGGAATGGCATCTCTCAAAGTGGGAAAATGTGAACTTCCTCTGCAAGCTACTGAACAAACAGAAGACAATGAAGTGTACAAAAGGTACTGGACTAGAAGTCAGGAATTTTAATCATCTCTGTTCATCATCTGTATATCATCTCTATTGCTGACAAACCAAAAACCAAACCAGTTGTCATCAAGTCAACTCCAACTCATGGCAACCCCATGTGTGTTCTATAGGGTTTTCAATGACTATTTTTTTGGAAGTAGGTCTCCAGGCCTTTCTTCTGGGGCACCTTTGGGTGGACTTGAACCTCCAGCCTTCTGGTTAGCAGCTAAGCATGTTAACCATTTGTACTACCCAGGGACTCCTCTATTGCTGATATGCTGTGTAAATTCAGGCCAGTCTTTGGGTCTTGATGTCCACATTTGGAAAGTGGTCTTAAATAAGCTCCAAAGTCCCCACCAGATCAAATGTTCTGTGGCTCTGTGAGTTGTTATAAGCAGTCTAGTCCTGGCTCTCACCTGAGTCTCCCTGGCTGGTGGCCATCCGGGGCCGCTCCAAAGCTGCCGTGGCACACGTGATGATGGCTTGGATCCGAATGTCATCATGCATGTCTGTCAAGCTCCGTTGCAGGCCCTCCACTGTCTCATGGTGCCACTTAATGACTATGCCACAGTGAGGAAGAGAACCACCTGGTTAGAATTAGAAACTCTGCTGCAGGCAGGTGACAAGAAATCACATTTCCCCAAGGACAATTCAAGCAAAACATTAGCCCAGAAGAATAAAGGGCCCTAGAGATGGGGTCCTTGGGGAAGTTATTTCACTGATGAGCCATGTACCCTCTCAGTTCCCAAACAAAACTCCCCCCACTTCTATCTTATATTCTATTTCTCTTTGCTTAAATTCTTGATTGTTGCCATCTGGAAAATAAAAGGGGCAGTAAAACATAGTGGCTAAGGGTATTTTGTTGTCAAACATAGCTGGTTTGGAATCCTAGTTATTAGCTGTGGACCTTGGATAAGTTACTTAACCTCTCTGAGCCTGAGATTTCACATTTGTAAAATGGGAATAATACTAGAATCTACCATGTTAAGTTATTTTGAGGACTAAATATGTTAACTAGCCAAAGTGTCTAGCTAGATACCTGGCAGATAGCGAGGACTCAATACATGACAATTATTGTGGTGATCATTAGGTTTCCTCACCTTTGAGGGCTCTTCCATCTGCCTTTCAAGGTCCTGGTCATTTTAGTTACTAACTGCTCTCTTTGCAGGTTTCAAACTTTTATTTCAATGCTCCTACCATCTCCAGATGCTCCGTAGTATAGTAGCTGTTACAAAGAATCTTTTTTTCAACCCTTTTTCATTTATCTGATCCAGTTTGCTTAATGGATCGCCTCTCTTTTTCCTGCACTAGTCTCTCATGTTTTGAAAGCCAGCAGCCCTCAAGTCCTCAAATACTGTAGCTTTCAACAGTTCTTGCTGGGCCCCTGCACCACCCCAGAGAGTCAGCCTTCTACTTCTGTATCTCTAAAGTCAGAGTAGATATATGATAATCTCAGCTCCGCAAATGAATTGGAGAGGGGTTGTCTTTACCACAGTCAACTACAATCACTACATTGCCATTGCTTGGGCAGCATTATTTCATCCTTCCCTTTACGCATCATTTATTGAGCACAAAGCTTCAGAGATGAATAAGATAGGATCCCTGCCTAGTTCTCAGTGTAGTGAGTTTCCACAAATTACTGAAGTAAAAAGGGGGTATGATTTTCCCCTCTGCCCACCTACCCTTGCAGAAAGCACCCAGATACATGTCAGCTAGCATTCATCTAATACCCATTGTGTGCAAGGCTCTTGACTAGTCTAGCTTTGGTGAGGCAACAAGATCTTTACATTTCACAAGAGATGGATGGATTTGAAAAGATTGAGATACGCTTGCCCAAGGTGAGACCACCCCCTCTTAAATACCTACCAATGCCTCAGGACCTCCCTTCACTCACTCAGTGACCAGGCAGTCTTCCATTCCTGCAGCATCCTCCGGAGGACCACCAGTTCCCAGGTCACGTTCTCCTCCGGTGATTTTGCCTGCTTCCGCTGTCTCCTGGACTTAGTGTCCATGTCCATCTCACCCACCTGCAGCAGCAGATCCTTGGCTGGGATGGGCAAAGCAGCCCAGCGTACACCTCCTTTCATGGGCCTACAAGCTGTGTCAACATGGCAGTGTGAGGTCTTCTCATCCCCGTGCCCTAGCCCCTGACACATAGTCTTCCCAACTACCATCACTTTCCTCTACCTGATTAACACCAAGGAAAAGCAAAGCTTTCGAGAGTGAATTTTCCCGTAATTATATAGGGAGCTGAGTATAAGTCCAATAGGGAGTTATGAAAAGTCCTAACTACAGAAACGATAAAGCCATGATCGTGGGAGAGAGATGTTCACAAATGATACAGCCATGATGAGTGGGGGAGACCGGAGGGGGGAATTGAAATGTGTACAAACCTTTTTATAAGTTTAATAAATCTTTAAGAGCATAAATATGTTTATGTATAACAAGGTTTGCTCATAAAAATTCAATATTTGAGATGTTGCAATTTACAATAGAGTGTAATTGGCCATTAATTCCTGATTTACTAACTAAATTTTCTTTTTAATGTTTTTAATTTTGAGGGAGGAATGGTGCTGTAAGCTGCTAAATTTTAAAGATTTTCCAAGTTATAACAAATAACAGAAATTTGAGAGCAGAAAAAAATCATAATTGTTTTGTAAACATTTTTGTAGTTGTATGTAGTTGTTATATAAAAATAGTTATAGTTATGCTTTCTGGACTCCATGATATCAAACAAATTCAGAAAGCCTCATTCTCAGAAAAGAAGCTGTGTAGAGAAGGAGAAGGGAAGGCAGAATTAAAAACATTTCCACACTTACTAAATTCACTGTTTGCCACATTGCCTATCAGTCTCATGTTCTGATCGTCACTATCCGCCATTTCTGTATCTTCCAAGATTTCATTCCCACTCTAACACCTTTAGATTTGTTGAGAATCTTTTCTTTCCTTTGAGCAAGGAGGGCAATATATTTCCTACTTCTAATGTAGATAGTCTTGTGAGACTCCAGGGCAGTTTGTCTCACATGCTATATAGCCCATCTCCTCTAGATGCCCCTCGCCCAGCTTGGTCATGCTGCGGGACTCAGCACTCGTTGAAGCTTCCTTCCTTTGCAGTGCAGGACGGATGCAGCCAGGACTGTAAACCCAGCTCCAGACAGATCGGCTCCCACCCTGCACGTAGATGCTTTGTCACATAACATTCCCCCGCTTCTCTTAGCCTGCTTGAAATCCCTCCTGGGGAAGAGAGACGCAGTTTAATTAACCCCACTGCCTCTATATCACCCTGCTCAAGGAGTAAAAATGGATTGTGGTGAGAACATCTTGAATGTCTGATACTTAACCTCTATGGAAATAAACAAGTATTATTACCACTATCAATTTTAATTCCAGTCCTTTGAGTTCTACTAGTAGGCAGGTAGAAACACATCCACTAGTCAACTTTTACATCAAAAGTCATCTAAAGGCAGTACACAAGGAAACAACCTTTTCATTTTCTGTGGGACAAAAGGTACAGTACACTTTGGAGGCAGACACAAATGGGGTCCTTGTATTTGTAACTCGTACCATATAACCTGTGCTTGGTATATAGGAATTATAGTGAACTTCTGGGCACACTAAAGAGTTTTACATAAAGATTTTGAGAGAATTAAGTCTATATTATAATAAATGTACTTCTTATGTTGACAATTTTCATCATTTTAAAGAAATCATTCAAGTTTTTCAATTTAACAGAATGGAGGGGAAAAAATCTACTACATCTAACCACAGGAATTTTCCTATTTTTTCCAGGTTCTTTCATACCTAACTCAATTTCCTGAGATGATAAATAAAATGGTTATCAGAAGATGTGTGTATATTACTATTCTGACTTCCCCCAGATCAATCTCAAATACTATTTTTAAAAGTTTGATGTGTAAACTCCTATAGCATCATTCATTAAATGTTCCATATCCTGAGGGGAGGTGTGCAGCACCTGTGGGGAAAAAAAATGCCTGTGAAGCAAGTGAGGTAGGTGGTGAAAACTTCTGGGAATGCAGCGGGATCCTCTGAGGACTTTTTTTTTTTTAAAAAAAACAGCTTTATTGAGATATAATTCACATGCTCTAAAATTCATCCTTTTAAAGTGTATAATTCAGTAGTTTTTAGTATATTCACAGTTAGGCAACCATCATCACCATCTAATTTTAGAACATTTTCAGCACCCCCAAAAGAAAGCATGTACCCATTCGCCCCTCTCCCCAGCCCCTGGCAACCACAAATTTACTTTCTGTCTCTATGGATTTACCTATTCTCAGAGGAGAAAATACGAAGAATGGAGCTGGCTTTGGGGAGAAGGTAGTATACGAATAATAATGCCTTGAGTTTGTTCAGTACTTAATGGTTTATAAAGCATATTCACAACATCACCTCATGTAAGTATCACAAAAGTGCCTTGCTGTAGGAATAATTAGTGTCTCCATTTTAATGAAGCAGCTGAAGCCCCCAGAAGGTGACTCGCAAAGACCTGACCTGAGGCCTGTCTGGGTGGTTTTCTCCACTGCATCATAGTGGTGGTCCTCAACAAAGGTGGGTTAGTTTTGGGGAAGCTGCCCATAGCTACCATTATTAGCACCTCCTCTACCCTAGTGGCTGTTGCCTAGCCAGGCAGAACTAGAGACAGGTTTGGGGCTGGTAAAGAAAAGAATGTGTCACTACTACTGTTAGTTTCTGCACACCAGGGAGCCCATCTGAATAATGACACTGCAAAGAGAAGAGTCATGGGAAATGGGGACATAGTCTCTTGGAGGATAAGCACATTTTGTTTTATAAGCTCATTTCTTGACCACCTCCCCATCTGTCTTACAGAATGACAAGTGATGTACTTATGAAATAGAAACTTAAACAACAGAGGAAGGCCTTAAGACCTGAGGGAGGTATGGGCTTGGGTGTGGAGTAAGAAGATAGAGCCAGCCCAAGGGAAAAAAGGCAAAGTGTGTGGGGCTGGTCAGGGGTTTGACATACTTACCCTAGAAGCATTTAAGATGGGGCCTTCCTCATTGGTAATTATTAGCTCTAAACCACTTGGTTATACCTAAGTTAGATCTGATTTCAAGTGAATGCGTACTCCATTGAGGCTCTTCCTAGTCACAGTTAGTGTTTTATAATTTTATGAGATGACTTTTCATTGGTAGAAAGTGATTCCCCTAGAAGCAGGTGATGCTCTAGCCCATGACCTGGGGGCCTTAAAGAAATAGCCACATTTCCATTATTACCCACCATTACCAGCTTCCTGCTTACGTGCTTCAGGAACTGGCTGGGAACTCCACTTTTCTGGGGTTTCAGGGAAGACCTTACGCAGCTGCTTGTTGTACTGATTGAGGTTTTCCAGGAAAATTTGGTCTCTCTTTGCTCCAGCCTTCTGGATGATCTGGACATTGTCTGTGAACAAACAAAAATAATGAGTCCTCCAGCACCTCCCCCCGCCTCTCTTCCTGGGTTTCCAGTCACCAGGATCAGACCCAATTCCTTTTTGCCCTAGTGTGAGTCCCTGTGACCCATGACTACCGTGTTGTGGGCGCATCCTTCCTAGGTGATTGTTGCTTAGGAATGTCACAGCTGGTGGTCTTATAGAGAATGCTCATAGACACCTTGGAGCCAAGGATGTTGATGTTTTCCATCGGTAAGGCAGAACTATTTAACTTATAGGCATTACCCCCTATGAAAAGCGAGATACTAAAGAAAGAGTACCTAATTAATCTCTTACCAGTCATGAATACCTTAGTCTAAATAATTTTGTTAAACACTTTTAAAAGAGTTTTCACTGACAGCCGTGTAAGAGCAAGATGAGGTCAGGGAAGAAGAAACAGCTTGGAACATGCAGACCTAGGTAAGGTGTCCTGGAAGCCCAAACTCCAAAGGATAGCAAGATGGGAGGGGAAGGTAGTGCATTTGTTGAGCCCTTTCTGTGTGCCAGGCATTGGGCAAGAAGCATTTTAGATGCTTTCTTGTTTACTCTTTACTCCAAGTGCATGTTTGTTGACATCATTTTACATGCTACTTGCCAGGTACGTAAGGCTCCAAGGGATTATTTGCTGAAGGTTACTGGGAAGTAGCTAAGCCAGAATTCAAACCTAGATCTACCTGACTGTAAAGCCCGTGATTTTTTCCCAATATATCACCTCAGTGAGGGAATATCTCAAGGTGACAGAAGAAAGAAGGGTGGACAGAAAAGAAGTAGAGTGTGTAAAGAAGAGGTCAGTTGTTTCCAAAATCAAATCTTGCCTACTTTACAATTCCAGCCTTTTTAGTAAAATAGAAGGATAGAGAAAGGGGAAGAGGGGGATTAGTTCCCTCTTCACCAGATACTACTGCCCTCTTTCCCCCAGCTCCTGTGCTAGTAGTAACCAGGGGGTATTATGAAACCCTGGGTAATCCAGAGCCTCATCCCAAGGTTGCATCCAGAGACAAGCCATAAACCCACAACCGTGTCCATCCCCCAGCTACCGTCCACCTCCCTGCTCCATGTCCACCTCACCCCCACCACAGGGCCCCAGCTCTGTTACCAAAGTAAATCTCCTGTTCAAAGGTATTGTCCGTGGAGTAAGCAAACTTTCCAGCTCGAGGATTCACCTGCCGGAAGTAGCTCTGGTTTTGGGACTGGTAGTTGCTTGTCTTTCCACTGACAGCCTCAGCAGTCTTATTGTTGCCAGGCACTATTTCAGCTGTCTGCACTTGTGGCAAGTAATCAGGCAGTCTTGGTAGGGGTAAGAGAAGGGGAGAAGGGAGAAAGGGTAGAAGATGGACCCCTCCCCATTTCCATCAGATCCACAGCTCACTCCTTCCCCTCTTTAAGTTCAGCTCATATACACATGAACATCCAAAGAACACCTGTGCTTAGCTATTGGTCTTGCCCCTAAAGTGCCAGTTGAATATGGAGTTGCCAGAGGGTCTATATACAGCCACCTTCCTTCTCCACTGTGGAGCCACTCCTTCTGCAGCCACTGGACAGCATGATAGAGTGGCCATGCTCCCAGCATAAACCTTTTTAACATTGGTACCCTTAGGGTTGCATGCACTTGGGGAAGGGACCCAACTCCTGTGTTATCTCACTTTATCTATTATGTGTGTGATTATTTAATGTCTGCCCACCCCAGTAGACAGGCTCCTTAAAGGATAAGTCTATGTCTTTTGCATTTACACTGTATTGCCAACACTTCACAGAGTACCTGGCAAGTAGGTGGAAGACAATTTATATCTGTCCAATAAATGAATGAATAAATGGATTTCCACCCATTTTTAGTTTGCTTTTGGGAATCAAGTGTATTATAATAGCTCTGGTCTTTGCTCTAGCTGCTAGTAAAAAAGAAGCAATCTGAGAAATGCGATGCAATCCTATTCCATCAGGTTATTTAGTTCTCTGCCCTGCTGCTGGTTGGTTTTCAAGTCAATGACACACTGGTTTCTTTTTCAAAGTGAGGCAGGACTAAATCTCAGAGCCACTAGCTCTCTCTGCTTCCTCGCTCTCAAATGGATGAATTTCTGGGAGCCTCTGGCAGTAACTGGATCAGCAGAATAGCTATGTCAGTTAGGGAAGACTGAGAATGGATCCCTTTAAGGCAGTAGTTTTCAACCAGGGGTGATTCTGTTCCCCCAGAGGACATTTGTAAATGTCCAGAGGCATCACTTAGGTTGGAAGTCACTCAAAATATGACTGGGGAAGAACTGCCTCCTCGAAGTAGAGTCGACCTTAATGATGTGGATGGAGTAAAGTTTTGGGGACTTTCATTTGCTGATGTGGCACAATTCAAAATGAGAAGGAACAGCAAACATCCATTAATAATTGGAACATGGAATGTATGAAGTATGAATCAAAGAAAATTGGAAATTGTCAAAAATGAAATGGAACACTTGAATGTTGATATCATAAGCATTAGTGAGCTGAAATGAACTGGTATTGGCCATTTTGAATTGGACAATCATATGGTCTACTATGTTGGTAATGACAAATTGAAGAGGAATGGCATCACATTCATTGTCAAAAAGAAATTCAAGATCTATCCTGAAATACAGTGCTGTCAGTGATCCGATAATATCCATAAGCCTACAAAGGAGACCAGTTAATATGACTTTTATTAAAATTTATGCACCAACCACTAAAGCCAAAGATGAAGAAATTGAAGATTTTTACCAACTTCTGCAGTTTGAAATTGATCAAACATGTAATCAAGATGTAATGATAATTACCAGTGATTGAAATGCGGAAGTTGGAAACAAAGAAGAATGAGTAGTTGGAAAACACGGGCTTGGTAATGAAATGATAGAATTTCATGATAGAAATTTGCAAGACCAACGACATCTTCTATTGCAAATACCTTTTTTCAACAACATAAATAGTCACTATACACGTGGACCTTGCCAGATAGAATACACAAGAATCAAGTTGACTACATCTGTGGAAAGAGATGATGGAGAAGCTCAATATCATCAGTCAGAACAAGACCAGGGGCCGACTTCAGAACAGACCATCAATTGCTCATATGCAAGTATAAGTTGAAGCTGAAGAAAATTAGAAGAAGTCCATGAGAGCCAAAGTATGACCTTGAGTATATACCACCTGAATTTAGAGACCATTTTAAGAATAGATTTGATGCATTGAACACTAATGACCGAAGACCAGATGAGTTGTGGGATGGCATACAAGGACATCATAAATGAAGAAAGCAAAAGGTTATTAGAAAGAAAAAAAGAAAGAGGAAAAAAAAACCAAAATGGATATCAGAAGAGACTATGAAACTGCCCCTTGAATGCAGAGTAGCTAAAGTGAAAGGAAGAAATGATGAAGTAAAAGAGCTGAACAGAAGATTTCAAAGGGCGGCTCGAGAAAACAAAACAAAGTATTGTAATGAAATGTGCAAAGACCTGGAGTTAGAAAACCAAAAGGAGGAACATGCCTGGTTTGTCTCAAGCTGAAAGAACTGAAGAAAAAATTCAAGCCTCAAGTTACAATGCTGAAGGATTTTATGGGCAAAAAATTGAATGACACAGGAAGCATCGAAAGAAGATAGAAGGAATACACAGAGTCACTGTACCAAAAAGAATTGGTTCATGTGTAGCCATTTCAGGAGGTAGCATATGATCAAGAACTAATGGTATTGAAGGAAGAAGTCCAAGCTACACTGAAGGCACTGGCGAAAAACAAGGCTCCAGGAATTGACAGAATACCAATTGAGACGGATGCAACACTGGAAGCACTTACTTGTCTATGCCAAGAAATTTGGCATACCTGGTCAGTTGGCTATGTGGCCAATTGGCTGGAAGAGATCCATATTCATGCCCATTCCAAAGAAAGGTGATCCAATGGAATGGGGAAATCATTGAACAGTATCATTAATATCATATGTAAGTAAAATTATGCTGAAGGTAATTCAAAAACGGTTGCAGCAGTATATTGACAGGAAACTGCCAGAAATTTAAGCCAGATTAGAAGAAGACATGGAACAAGGGATATCATTGCTGATGTCAGATGGATCTTGGCTGAAAGCAGAGAATACCAGAAAGATGTTTACCTGTGTTTTATTGACTATGTAAAGGCATTCTACTGTGTGCATCATAACAAATTATGGATAACATTGCAAAGAATGAGAATTCCAGAACACTTAATTGTGCTCATGTGGAACCTGTACATAGACCAAGAGGCAGTTGTTCGAACAGAGCAAGGGGATACTGCATGGTTTAAAATCAGGAAGGGTATGCATCAGGGTTGTATCATTTCACCATACTTATTCAATCTGTATGCTGAGCAAATAATCCTAGAAACTGGATTATATAAAGAAGAATGAGGCATCAGGACTGGAGGAAGACTCATTAACAACCTGCAATATGCAGATGACACAATCTTGTTTGCTGAAAGTGAAGAGGACTTGAAGCACTTTCTGATGACGATCAACAACCACAACCTTCAGTATGGATTACACCTCAACTTAACAAAAACAAAAATCCTCACAACTGGAACTATAAGTAACATCATGATAAATGGAGAAAGTAGTGAAGTTGTCAAGGTTTTCATTTTATCTGGATCCACAATCAATGCCCATGGAGGCAGCAGTCAAGAAATCAGATAATGGGAAGTGAGGGGCCAAGATGGCGGAGTAGTCAGACGCTTCCAGTGGACCCTCTTACAACAAAGACCCGAAAAAACAAGTGAATTGATTATATATGACAATCTAAGAGCCCAGAACATCAAAGACAAAGTTGAGGAACCGGACTGAGTGGCAGGGGGAGGGAGAGAGATGGTTCGGAAGCAGCAAGGATTTGCCAGACCTCACCCGGTGAGAGCCTGAGCCCTTCAGGTCTGATCAGCTTATGGGTGAGCGGTGAGGCAGGCAAGCAGCCGTGCTTGGGAGGCAAGTTTTCTGCACTGGGAGAGACCCAGTGGCAGATAGTGTACTTGGCCATCCAGAACCAGTGAGAAGCAGCCCTAGATTGGCAAAAGAAAAGTACTCACGTACGGCCTACTGCGTGGATCAAAAACACACACCTTAGGGAAAAATCACTCTCCCATTTACCTCCCCGCACCTGCTCTGCACTGGGTCCCAGACTGGCTTCAGCAATTGCTGAGTTCCCTGGGCCAGAAGTAGGATCAGTCACATACCTTGAGCCATTCTCCGGGCCTTGGAGAGTGAACAAATTAACAAACGGGGAAAAAAACTGCCGGCTCCCCTAAGCCAGGAACCCAGGGTAGGCACAGCTCCTTTGCCTAGGCACAGGAGTAAAGGATGCATAGACATTGAGTGCCTATCCCCCTGCATAGACTTGTGTGGGCCCATTTCAACAGCGTAGGCCCTCATTACCGCAGTACAACAGGGTATATACCTGAAGTCTA